AGAGAGAGAGAGAGAGAGAGAGAGAGAGAGAGAGAGAGAGAGAGAGAACACAAGAGCAACTTACCAGTGGGTACACCAATTAGAATTCTGACTTTCTCTCCACCAGCAACCATTAACTGCCTCTAGCTCTTTGGGGAGGGTGGAGCCTTATGGGCCCCTCCTCTGACCATAATGATGGAATGTTGAGAGGCCCAATCCTGCACAGCTAATGATTGCTGCTGTGAAAAGCTCTACCTTAGACAGGGTTTCTCTGTTATGGAGTTCCTGGAACTCACTATGTAGAGCAGGTTAGCCTCAGACTCACAGAGATCCACCTGCCTCTGCTTCCTGAGTACAGGGTATCGTGCACCTTAGGTTGGCCAGGAACTGGTTGAACTGCTGACCTCCCTGCTGCACCTCTGGTGTGTCTGGGATTACCAGCTTATGTGCCACCCCCTGGGCATAAGTGGTACTAGTTACTCAGCCCAGGACCTGTGCTGTGCTGGGCCAGCACTTTCCCCACTGAGATACATCCCCAAGATGCTTTGTATCCCATCCGAAGCCCCCCATTCCTGTGTAGCTCTGTGGTCTCTGAGGGTCTGCAGTCAGTGGAGCCAGGGCTCCTTACAGTGCAATGTTCCTAGTTAAGTGGTGGCTTCTCTTGAGGGTCTGTGTCTAACCTGGATGGGGACTTGGAAAGTGCTTTGACTTACCCATAGATACCAGGCTTCCCACTGACAACAGCACAGACAAATAGTACAGTTCAGGGGTGGTTTTCTCCTGTATGAAATGCAAAAAGCACCATCAGAAACACCTTTGTTGTTTAGCCAGTGGTGATTGGTTTCGGTTTTGTTTGACTTTTTGTTGTTTGTATTTTTGAGACAGGATCTCACTATGTAGCGCTGACTGTCCTGAAACTCGCTCTGTACACCAGGCTAGACAAAACTCGCAGAGATCTGCCTTTCTCTGCCTCCCGAGTGCTGGGATGAAAGGTGTGTGACTCTTCCACCGCCCGGCTTTCTTTGGGTTTTGGTTTAGTGTATCTGTGTAAGCGGTCTACCCAGAGCATGCCGTCCTGCTGTTCTGCCTCCCAAGTTCTGCAGTCACAGGCACGTGCTCTACAGGAGTCTTGTCACATTTATTGTTTTTAGAGCCAGGAGGAGGGCTTAATGGGTATGGCAGTTTGAATGTAATTGGTCCCCATAATCTCATAGGGAGTGGCCCTATTAGGAAGTGTGTCTTTGTTGGAGTGGGCATGGCCTTGTTGGAGGAAGTGTGTCACTGAGGGGGTGAGCTTTGAGGTTTCCTATGCTCAGGACACCACCAGTGTCTCAGTTGACTTCCTGTTGCTTGTGAAATGTAGGACTTCAGCTACTGCTCCATCACCATGTCTGCCCATGTGCTGCCGCACTCCCAACCATGATTATAGTGGACTGAACCTCTACAACTGTAAGTGAGCCACCCCAATTAGATGTTTTCTTTATAAAAGTTGCCATGGTCATGGTGTCTCTTCCCAGACATAGAAACCCTAACTAAGACAATGGTAAAGGTGATTGCTGCCAGACCTGGTGACCTGAGTTCAATTCTGCATGGTGGAAGGGGACACCTACTTCTCAGAGTTAGCTTTGACCTCCACTTGCTTGCCACATGGCTTTGTGTTTCCAAGTACACATCACAAACACACACAACAGTAGTGATATAGCTTTAAATCTTTTAAAAGATAAAATTCTACTAAAGTAGAAATCACCCACAATAAGAAAAATCTCGGGCCAAGTGTGGTGATGCAAATCTTTGATCCCAGCACTCTGGAGGTAAAGGTAGGTAGATCTCTGAGTTCTAGTCCAGCCAAGGCTACAAATAGAGACTCTGTTTCAAAGCAACAAGCAACAACAAATAAAACAACAACAAGACCACCATCACCACCAAAAACAACCAAAATGTCATTTGGGGATGCTTTTAGGAACATGCTGGCATGGACCACGGGTCTCACACATGCTACACGTTCTCCACCAATGAGCTACAACCCATATTCTTTTAAAAAATAGTTTCTTTCTTATGCATGTGTGTGCATATTCATATGTATGTGAGGGTGTAATGTTTGTTCAGTGCAAACCTGCATGTAGAAGCAGGAGGATAGCCTTAGGTATCATCCTCAGGAATGCTGTTTGCCTCGTGCCGTTAGCCTAGACTGGCAACCCTTGATCCCCGGGATCCGCCTGTCTCCGCCTCCCCAACACTGAAATTACAACGTGCACCAGCACACCCAGCATTTCCATGTGTCTTCTGAGGATCAAATCCAGGCCTTGCCTGTGAGACAAACACTTCATCAGCTGAGCTCTCCCTCTGGCCCCTAGGATGTTTTTGTCTTTCCTAAAGAAGCTGCGCTGTGCATAGATGAGGAATTCCATGTCTGCATATTTCTATTTTCTGCATAAATAGATAGTAAATATTGAAAAGTCATGATTGTTTGTAACCAAGCTTTCAGAGTATGATGAGCCTTTTAAATTCTTAAAGCCGGGCGATAGTGGTGCATGCTTTTAATCCCAGGACTGGTGAAGCAGAGATCTGTCTGAACAACCGGGGCTACACAGAGAAACCCTGACTCAAAAAACCTTAAAAACAAAACAAAACCAAAAAACAAACCAGGACCAGACCAGAGAGATGGTTCTCTGAGTGAGTGAGTACTGCTGAGCCTGACAGCCCAAATATGACCCCTAGAGCCCATGTAAAAGATGGAAGACGAGACCTGGCACCTGTAAATTGTGCTCTGGCCCCCTTCAAATATTGTGATGTTGTAGCATGCAATCACACAATAGATAAATTAATGTTAAAAAAGAAAAAAGCATACACAATCTGATGCCAAGACTGTTAATAGCACAGTGCACGCTCCTTCACCAAAGGACCCAACAGCAAACACAGAGAATGTTGTCCTCAGAGCCTGTGGGGCCGGCTCCGTCTGAGTAAGTAGTATGATGAGGCCTGGAAGGATGGGACAGTGTGCTCATTAGGTTTCCCTGGCTCAGAGACATGCTCTTTTTCCTTGTTTTGTTTTTGTATTTTGTAATACACTCTTACTATTGTAGCCCAGGCTAGACTCAAGCTCAGTCTTCTTGCCTCCATCTCCTGAGTGCTGAGATTATAGGTGTGCACCACTCCGCCCAACTCAGAAACAACATCTCTTGTTCAACATGACTTATTTTTATATTTATTAGGAAGAGAGAGATGGATCAAAATCGAGATCTGTGTGTGGGCACAAGGACCACTGGCTGTATAGGCAGGAGATCAGGAGACAGCGTTGTGAAGTCTGTTGTCTCCTTTTTACTTGGGATCCTGGAATAGAACTCCAGTTGCCAGGCCTGCCCAGCAAGCAACCTTTACCTGCTAAGCCAGTGTGCTGCCCCAACACTATTACTGAATAAGTAGCTACATCCGTAACTTTATTATAACTGTATAGACTATTGCAGGTCAGGCATGGCGGCACATGCGTGTAACCCCAGCATTGAAGGCCTGGGGGCAGGAAGATTACTGTGAGTTTGAGGCTTAGTTGGAATACACAGTGAATTCAAGACCATCCATCTCAAGAAACTAACACCCCACCTACCCCCCAAAAATGAGGAGGGGAAAGAAAGGAGAAAAATGTGAGAATCCAGTGAAATACTAGATTCAGCCTCACTTTCACATTCTAATTGTAGGATAACTGTAAGGGCTGCTATCCAAGGAATTTAAGAGTCTCTTCATTCAAGGTTTTGTTTTATTTTTAGTGATGGTGCCAATCAAACCCAAGGCATCACACATACCAGGCAAACATTCTACCATAGACCTACAACCCAGCCAACCACCAGAGTTTCCAGTGTCCTTTTCTTGGGTGCCAGCCTGTGAACATCCCCAGAGCAGAAACCTCTTGGCTGCTTCTGTCCCCACAGCGGGTACCAGATAATAGACACCTGCTGAGCACCCACAGGCCGCTGCACACCTACCCAGAGTGAAGAAGGTGAAGACGATACTGCCAACCAGGTTGGCCAGGAGAGGCTGACTGCAGTGCCGGGAGGATCTGGGCCTGCAAAACAAATCACAGGTTGGCACCCTTCACCCACCACTCGTTACAGAGCCCTCCGTGTCTGAGGCACATCAGGAGCTCCCTCCCTGCCCGAAATCTACTCTGACAGTCATTGTGGCTCCTTGGCTTGATAATGAGTATCCTTCGTCAAAGCTGGGAAGTAATGCTTAGGTTTGCTAATCCTTATTTGATGGTTTGGTAAAAAGCCCTTTGTGGAAATTGACCTTTGGGAGTAAAGAACTTTCTGTACCGTGTGCAGACGTGCTGTGGTGGGCCTGTGCTGAGTGATTCCCACCAGCTCAGCCTTCACTTTGTATCTCCAGTGAATTCAGCTTTTTGTACAATTTCCACATTTTTTTTATTTTTATTTTTCATGTGGTTGCTGGGAATTGAACTCAGGACCTTTGGAAGAGCAGGCAATGCTCTTAACCTCTGAACCATCTCTCCAGCCCCCAATTTCCACATTTTTAAGATTGTGACTCTTTGTTAGAGCAAGTAGATTGTGTTTGCTTTGTTTCCTCCAGTAACAGTTGTTAGTGGACGGTCTCTACCCACTACCATTGTTAGTGGACGGTGTCTGTCCTCCACAGTTGTTAGTGGAGGGTCTTTGGCCTCCACAGTTGTTACTGGGAATCTCTGTCCTCCACCATGGTTAGTGAACAGTTTCTGTCCTCCACCATGGTTAGTGAACAGTTTCTGTCCTCCACCATGGTTAGTGAACAGTTTCTGGCCTCCACCATGGTTAGTGGACGGTCTCTGGCCTCCACAGTTGTTAGTGGATGGTCTCTGGCTTCCATGACTAAGCTCTAGCACTGATTTGAATTGCACATCAGTTCAGAATCCAGTTGATTGATTGTGCCTGCCTTGCCCTTGGCCCTGTAGACATTAGCTAACGCTTAGGCCCTTGGGACTGGCCTCCAGGGAATCCATGAATAGAGACATTGGTGCCCTCATAGTCTCTTATACGGGAAGTAAATGTGTGTTAAAAGTTAAACTTGATCTGTCCAAATCTCTGCAACCTTCACCCTACTGAGATTTTCAAGAATGCAAAGAGGTGGACTTGACTGCCACCAATAACAGGAACAGAGACAATGGGACAGGCAGCACTCAGGCGTGCGACAGGAATCCCAAGGAACACCCGCACCACCCCCGCAGGTAAGGCCTGCCTGGGCTGACTCACCTTAGCAGTGGACACCACCCCACAGGTAAGGCCTGCCTGGGCTGAGACTCACCTTAGCAGCGGGCACCACCCCGCAGGTAAGGCCGGCCTGGGCTGAGACTCACCTTAGCAGCACGTAGAACTGGAGCGTCAGGGTGCCGATCCCAAACAGGAACACCACCACCTGGCTGCACGGCAAGGGGACAGGAGGTAAACCTTTATGATTTCAAGGAATCAAATTCAAGTTCTGTTTCACACTGATTAAACCATAGGGAGGGTTTTAAACCAGGCAAAAGTGAATTGCCATGCACTGCAGTCTCCAGAGAAACGTACCTGTTAATACCTAAGCAAAAGGATCCTAGCTGCCATTTTTTAAAAAAATATTTATTTATTATGTATACAATATTCTGTCTGTGTGTATGTCTACAGGGTATAAGTGGACACCAGACCTCTTACAGATGGTTGTGAGGCACCATGTGGTTGCTGGGAATTGAACTCAAGACCTTTGGAAGAGCAGGCAATGCTCTTAACCTCTGAGCCATCTCTCCAGCCCCCCCTAGCTGCCATTATTGAGCTTGCTGGGAAATCTGGGGGACCTTGATTCCGTTACCGTGGTTAAGTTAATGTCAGGAAGCAGCACACAAGTAGTAAGAAGTATTCATTCAAAGTAAGCATAAATAGAAAAACAAAACTACAAAAGTTAATATTTGAATTGGATAAATATATTGAATATCTTATATGTGCTATCTTATGCAATATTCACAAAGTCCTGTAAGGTGAGGACTGTGGCCACTCCCCCTTGCCCTTCTCTTTTTCCTTTTTCTTTTTTTACTATAGGGCTCACTATGTATCCTTGACTGGCCAGAAACTCCCTATACGGTTGGCCTTGAACTCACAGAGGTCTGCCTGCTTCTGCCTTCTGGGTGCAAGGATTAAAGACAAGCATCACCACATGAGCATGTGCACACATACACACTTTTTTTTTAAAAAAAAAAAAAGACTGAGTCTTACTATGTTCCCCAGGTTTTCCTTGAACTCATAGACTAAAACAATCCTCCTGCTTCAGCTTGCCAAGTACTGGAACTAGAAGTACATGTCACCAGGACTTGGGTCCCCATTTTAAAAATGCAGAAGCCAGGATCCAGAAAAAATGAGTTTTTAAGGACAAACAGCAGCAGTAAGAGAACTAACTAGGATCTGAGCCGGCACCCGGACAGCCTTGCCTCCAGCCAGGTGAGCCACACCTGGGTGACTGACAGACCCAGGGAGCCTGCTTACCACAACCTGCAGACCAGATGGGAATCAGGGCTAGCTGCTGCAAATGCTGGTTCTTACGTAGTAGTCCAGCCCTCCCGCACTAGCCTTTTCCACTGTAGCTGTTTCTTTCATTAGTGGGGTTTACAGCTGAATGACTTTCGGATATTCACAGAAAACAATCATTGCACCTTCCAGTGAAGGTGCTCAGTAGATACTTTCAAAATCTACACTAGTTAAAACAGCCACAGCAGTGTCGGAACGAGACATGGGATCATGCTTCAGGTTACTAGTTTGAAAGAAATAACATCCTGTTAGAGGGTGGTGTGGCTGGGCAGGTCCTTTCACAGTGGGCCAACATGGCTTCAGACTGAGCATCCGGAAGTGGGAGGAGAGTCCAGCCAAGTCACCGTGCTCTTTGAAACAGCAGTAGTTGTGAGTTAATGTTTTCCAAGGTGTTACACTAACATTTCCACCATGGTGTCTTTAAAATTCATTAGATGGGTGGTTTAGAAGTAAGCTTTAGTTAAACTTGAAGACGACCCCAGGGAGCAGTGAGCCTGTGGCGCGGCGTGCTGGGGAGGAGCACTTACAGCCTGAGCCGGTGAGACCTCGGCAGCCAGCAGTGCAGGTGGTAGGCCGTGTGCACCAAGCAGAAGTGAATCATGACGACACTGCTCCGGTGGTGTTCAGAACAGTTCCGTCTGAGATTCCGTACCCATCCGTCACCTCCATGTTGGGACAGGCCACAATCTAGGCGCTGTGACTTAACCCTTCTGTGGCTTGGAGGGTTGAGAGAATCGCTGAGATGACTGAATTGGTGAGGCCAGGGTGGACATCTGAGACAGGTCACCAGCGTAACAAAGAACAAAGACTGCCTCCTCTATGTTTGAGAGATCAGCTTCCACCAGCCTCCTCATTCCCCAAGGGGAAGGAAACCTGAGCTCATCCCCAAAGCAGAGTGGGACTGGGAGCGTTTTGTTCCATCTCTGTTTCAGGACCCCAGCTGGCTCCTAGACTCCCCCCACACCGTGCTCTTAGCCTTGCCTTCCTTCTACTCTGCCACCCTGGGGTGTAATGTCTAGAGCCTGACTTGAATGTGCCCAGGGCTGGCAGACACCCCAGTTCCCTAGGACACAGTTTTATAGAGATGCTGCCTTTTTTTTGAGACAGGATCTCCTATAGCCCCAGTTGACTTTAAGCTTCTGGTCCTTCTGTTTCTTCCAGCTCTCCAACAGGTACTTCGTATAGGAAGTGGATAGAGCTAATACTAGAAGGGGCAGGGCTTGGGAACCCTGGTTTTGTGATGATGAGTGAGAAGTGGGACTTTGAAATCCTAGCTGTTTTAACTCATTCTTTTCCTGTTTTGGAAGGTGGAGGGGAGAACTCCTGGGAATTGTACCCAGGGCATCCTGTGCCTGCATATGGGGCAAGCACTGGATTGCTGAGCTACTGTCCCAGCCCTTAACTCATTTAACAACATACAAAACATCAATGACTCTTCTTAATTTTCTGTCCACGCTTCACAGTTTCCCTGTGCCTTTTGTAGGTTGGTTGGTATGTGTGTGTGTGTGAAGGTGCACATGTATGTTTGTGTGCATGTGGGAGCCCGGGTCAGTATCTGATGTCATCTTCAATAGCAGTCCACCTTAACTTTTGAAATAGGGTCACACAGAAGTTAAAGCCCGTTGGTTGAACTAGACTAGCTGAATCTGCTTCCCTAGGGCTGGGATAGATGTGCACTGCCAACCTAATGCCCACCTACATGCAAGTGAGCGAGTGAGCAAGCGATGGTGTATATGCATGCATGTAGAAGTCAGAGGTCAGTGTCAGCTTCTTCTTAATCCCGCTTCTCTTTCTTCTAAGTCAGGGTCTGTCAGTGAACCTGGAATTTACCGGTTCGGAGAGACTGGCTAGCCAGAGATCCCTTGACACCCTCCTGTCTGTGCCTGTCTTATTTATATGATTCCAGAGATCAAATTGAAAGACTCCCGTGGGCGTCTTCCCTTGGGAGAGACCCCATGCCCAAAGATCAGTCGAAAACACGCAGCCGGATGCAAACTGCAAGAGGTTTATTGGATACGCAGGTACCTGGGGCGACCAAGTCTCTCGGAGGACTTGCGCGCCTGCAGGTTGGGGGTGAGGGGTTTTTATAGGAGAGCAAAAAGCGAGGTTTACAGAAGCAAGATGCAGGGTGGTAAATTCTTAACCTAAATAACAATGAGGGGACTACTCAGCGGTTTACTGTTCCTCTTATCCTGCCCCTCCTTCCTGGCTGGCGACCAGATGTCTGATTGCACAGCCTCTGACTCGTGACGAGCCCCGCTTTATACGTGACTCAGGCCTCGCAATCCTCTCTTTCTTTGTTTCTATGACCAGTTCATAAATCTCCTGTCTCGCAGCCAGATAAGGCTGTCCTCAGGTATCTTTGCTCAGCATTCCGGAGGCACTGAATTCCGGAGGCCTTTAATTAAGCCTGTTATTTGCTCAGCATTCCGGAGGTCCTGAACTGGGCTTGTTATCTGTGAACCTTTGCAAAACAGTATAACTATGGTTAAAACTGGTTGGGGTCCTTCAAAATTCAGGTCATCAGTTTGCGTGACTGACCAGCACTTTACTTACTGAGCCATCTCCCAGCCCCTGAGTTGTGGTGTTGTTTTGCTTGTTAGTTTGTTTTTGAACAGGGTGGGAGGGATTGAAAAGTTTTGTTTTTTTTTTTTTGAGATGAGGTCTTGGTCTCTTGTTCAGGTTCCTCTCAGACCCCTGCCTCACCCCCCCACCCAAGCAGCTGGAGCCCAGGGGCTGTTTGGTTTGAGGGCCTCAGGCATGCTCATCTCTGTTCCCACCAACTACATTGTTGTTTCTCTTGTTTCTTCAAGAGCTATATAAATTACATTGTTGTTGTTTTGGTTTTTTGGCTTTTTTGAGACAGGGTTTCTCTGTGTAACAGTCCTAACTGTTCTGGAACTAGCTCTTGTAGACCAGGCTGGCCTTGAACTCACAGAGATCCCACCTGCCTCTGCCTCCGAGTATTGGGATTAAAGACGTGTGCTACCACTGCTCAGCTATAAATTACCTTTTTTGTTTGCTTGCTATGCAGGGAATTGGACACCTCCCATATGCTAGGCAAGTGTTCTGTCACTTAGCTGTATCCCCAGCCCTGTGAATTACTTTAAGAAGATTCTCTCCATTATAAAGCCTGTGTGACATCATCCATCAGTAAATATTCATCTCTTGTGACTCAGGACCACCTGTGGGTTTACTGATCACATGCTTCTGGTGTCACCTGGGCTTGCTGTGGGAATGGTCATCTTGACTGTGGCTTGGCTGCAGTCACATGAAGGCAAGAGGATCAGGAGTTCAAAGTTATCCTCCACTACATAGCCAGTTTTAAGCCAGCCTGGGCTATGAGACTTTGTCTCTGTCTCCTCCTGTGACCCTCTCCCACATTCTCAAATTAGGGACATGCTATCTTCTAGCATGTTATTATGTGTTGCTGTAACAGCAGAAAACTCTGTGATATAATGACCTCAGTGCTAGGCTCAGAATTAACATGCCCTCTTTTCTGCTGTATTCTTTTGGGCAAAGCGAATCATAAGGAATGGAGTTAATTCCACTTGGTAGGAACTGCATGCTTACATAGACTAAGGGCAGAAAGTGAAGCCAGTTCTGCATTTCATCTCCATCAGTGAGGTCAAGTATTTTGCCCACCTGTTTGCAGGGAGAACATGGCGGATGTCAAGAGATCTATAAACGAGCTTATTTCCTTTCTCCTTTGTAGATGACAGCAATGATGTCAGAGTGCCATTTAGATCAACAGCTCCAGCTTGTCACCGCGGACACGTCCGAGAAGACGGATGTGGTTCTTCTGGCCTGTGGCTCTTTCAATCCCATTACCAACATGCACCTCAGGCTGTTTGAGCTGGGCAAGGACTACATGAATGCAACAGGTAGATAACAACTAGAGACAGGACTGGAGCAATGCTCAGAGGTTAAGAGCACTGCCTGCTCTTGCAGAGGTCCTGAGTTCAGTTTCCAGCACCCACATGGTGGCTGACAACCATCTGTAATGAGATCTGAGGCCCTCTTCTGGCCTGCAGACATACATGCAGGTAGAACACTGTATACATAATAAATAAACAAGTCTTTAAAATAAAATAAAATGTGAAAAAAAAAGAATTTTCAAATAAAAAAGACTATAGATGAAGTTGGGTGGTAGTGGTGCTCGCCTTTAATCCCAGAACTTGGGAGGCAGAGGCAGGTAGATCTCTGTGAGTTTGCAGCCAATCTGGTCTACAGAGTGAGTTTCAGGACAGCCAAGACTACACAGAGAAATTGTCTCTTAAAAAATAAATAAATTGAAGAAAAAAAAAGGACTGGCAACGCACTTAACTATTTCAGTGTGATACCTGACCCTGGACGCAAGTGTGTTGCTCTATTTCCTGGCATAGAGAATTAACCAAAAAAAGTTAATGGGACTGTTATGCTCAAATTTCTGGTTTCCAAATGAATTCACAGAGCCAGATTTCCAATGCAAATTACATGAGGGTTCTTAATAATATTCATATTCATACTTGAGTGTGTACTCCACCACGCCAATGCTGTGGGTGAGGGAAGTGCAGCCCCAAACCCGGGGAAGAGGAAACACCACAATCCAGGGAGTTCGAGTCCTATCGTCTTGGGAATGGATGAGGAGTACAAAGGATAAGGTAGTTTCTGACCCCATTGGTCAGTTTTTGGGCATGAAAACCTAACAAAGGGCCATAAATTACTGACAAGGTATGTTCAAGGATAGGATGCCTCCTAAGAACATCTGGGCCTCATTAAATTTTATGGCCCTGCTCCCTATCTTCTTAATTGGCCATTTTTAGGGCATCTGTTCAGATTTCTACTATCACAGTGCATTTCTGGAGCTGAGGTCTGCTCTCCCCCCTCCCCCCCCAGCTCATTATGTGGCTTAAGATGAAGCCCCTTCTTTAAAATGGAGTTTGCAAGGTCAGGTCCTCACAGGGCCAGCAGAGGTGGCTCAGCAGGAAAAGCACTTGTTGTAAAGTATGTATGTGAATAAGGCCAGGCGTGGTGGAGCATGTCTTTAACCCCAGCTCTCAGCACTTGGAAGTCCGAGGCAGGTGAATTGCTGTGAGTTCCAAATCAGCCTGGTCTATATATATATATATATATATATATATATATATATATATATAGAGAGAGAGAGAGAGAGAGAGAGAGCAAGTTCCAGAACAGCCATGACTGTACAGTGAGACCTTGAAGAGGGGGGGGCATGGCTAGCTTAAGAAGGGGCAGGACTGGGCAGACACTGTCTAGAAAGTTTTTGCTAGATGTGGTCCAGCACCTAGGTGAGGAGAGACAGATCCCTGCCTCTGTTCTAGGTGAACAGTGCAAATTGAGTCAAGCTTTTTAACAAGGCAATTCAGCAATTCTGATTGGAATTCTGACCAACAAGAACTCTAAGTATAAGTCATATCAGCAAACCCAGAGTGCGTGTATAAGGGGTGTAGGGCTTTAGTTGGAGAAGGTGAAGGTTGTGTACAGTGTGCATGTATGTGCTCAACATTACAGAATTGTATACTTAAAATACTGTAAATGATAACTTTTGTAATGTTATTACAGTTTCTTTTCTAATTTAAGAATGTGTTTCTTTGCATCTGTGGGTGTTGTGTGAGACATGCTACCCAGGAGGTCAGATGGAGACGTCTGTTCTCTCCTCTCACCATGAGTGTCCTGGGATTGAACTCAGACCATCAGTCTTGACAGCATACCCCTTGACCAGTTGAGCCATCTTGCCAGACCCTTACCACAGTTTCAGTTAACTACTAATTTGACTCTTTGTTTTAAAAAGGGGGGGATTATAACTATCAAATAATATCAGTCATGCTTCCTGTTCATTAAATCTGATTTGTTATCCCTAATATCAAGCCAACTCTTTATCCAGGAAAATACAGAGTTATCAAAGGTATAATTTCACCTGTTGGCGATGCGTACAGGAAGAAAGGCCTCATCCCTGCCCACCACCGAGTTATTATGGCAGAACTTGCCACCAAGAATTCCCACTGGGTGGAAGTGGACACGTGGGAAAGCCTTCAGAAGGAGTGGGTGGAGACTGTGAAGGTGCTCAGGTAACCATGCTACAGTCCGTGTCACTGGTTCTCGGGAAGGGAGAGGGGACTGGACGCTCCTGTTGCTGTGTTTGCAGTTCTGCCTGCTTCTGGTTGTCAGGTCTGTGAGGTGTCACCAAGCGGCGTAGTCAGTGTTCTGTTGCTGTGAAGAGACACCATGACCAAGGCTGTGCTTGTCAGAGAAAGCTTTTAATTGGGGGCTGGCTTACAGTTTCAGAGGCTTGGTCCATTATCGTCCTGGCAGGGAGCACAGCGGCACACGTTGTGCCTGAGCGTAGCTGAGAGCTACATTCTGATCAGCAGGCCAAGAGAGAGACTCGGGCCTCGACATAGGCTTTGGAAGCCTCAAAGCCCACCCACAGTGTAGGCAGAGGAGACTGCTCGGTTTTTTCCCGGCCGACCAATCCTGAATAATAACCCAGAAACTATATTAATTACAATACCATTTGGCCAATGGCTTGGACATATTCCATGCTAACTCTTATATCTTATCTTGAATTAACCCATTTCTATTATTCTGTGTATTGCCATAGTGCTGCAGCTTACCAGGTAAAGTTCCAGGAGTCTGTCTTCTTCAGCAGCTACATGAAGTCTCTCTTACTCTGCCTACTCTCTCTAAATATATCTTTTCCCGCCTGGCTATATTCTGCCGTGCCATAGGCTGAAACAGCTATATTCATTAACCAATAAAAGCAACACATATACAGAAGGCCATCTCCCATCACCACAGTGACATCCTTCCAACCATTCAAATCCTTTCAAATAGTGCCAGGCCCCAGTGACTAAGCATATACTAGCCTGTGGGGGCCATTCTTTTCACCACACCAAGGCTGCTTCTTCCTACAGCAAGTTACCCCAGGTTGCGGAGCACAGGCAGAGCATGGCACACCCACGTGTCTTTCAGCATGGGTGGGAGATCGACATGTTTGTTCCGCAGAGATATCTCTGTCAGGGAGTAAAGGAAGTCAGTCTGGCCCTCCTGCCTGAAGGGAGAAAGACAGAATTCCTCAAGGATAGTGTAGTCATCTGTCTTCTTAGCTGTGGAAGAGGGAAGGAAGCAGCTTAAAGGGGAGGTTAGAGTATGGCCTACCCCTCAAAGACAGCGATTATTTAAAAAGGCCAGGGTCCACAGCCAGAAGACGTGAAGTCAAGACTCCCTCACTGCAGCCGTCTCTGAGGCAGGGTTCATTCAGAAGCCATCCGAAATGTGACTTGACAGTTGTCAACTTACGATCCTGGCTCTTCGTGCTCTTTGTCACCATGTCAAATTAGACCAGATGCAGTGAAACTTCCTGCCAGCCAGCCCCAAACTTAGAAGTGTCTGAGCTTTGCTTTGTTCTTGGGATTTGCTCAGGGACGTGTGCTGGATGTTCTGAAGAGGCTCCTCTGCCCACATCCCTCTCACAGCAGCGCGCGCTCTCTCTCTCTCTCTCTGTTTTTTTGTTTGTTTGCTTTTTGTTTGTTTTGGTTTTTTGAGACAGGGTTTCTCTATATTAACAGCTCTGGTTGTCCTGTAACTCACTCTGTAGACCAAGCTGACCTCAAACTCAGAGATCTGCCTGCCTCTGACTCCTGAGTACAGAAATTAAAGGTTTGCACCACCACAGCACCACAGCCCGGTTTATCATATTTAATAAGGAGGAGTGTCAGGCATTGCTTGCCCAGAATCCAGCCCAACCTTGTGTGGTGCTTCCTGGAGCACACAGGAGGCTCTCCAGACCTCCATGCTCAGCACACAGGAGGCTCTCCAGACCTCCATGTCAGCACACAGGAGGCTCTCCAGACCTCCATGCTCAGACCTTTGAAATGAGCCCAGTGCAGAAAGCGATATTTAACTGTCTCTTTATAGTCTTGAGAGAGAGTTAAGGGGCTTTCTGGAAAACTTTTGTCTACTGCCTGTTCTTAGGATTCTCACTCCTCCAGTCTGGCTGAATAAAGAGTCAGAGAAGGTCACAGAAACCCTTCTGGGCACTTTGGATGCAGTGTCCTTGCTCATTGAGATCCACATGTTAGAGACTGGGGGCTGCAGAGAGGCCCTTGTATGGTCAGAGCAGGACCTGCTGTGGGTCCTGGAGGGTGCTGCGGTGTGACAGTAGTATCGGTCTCATCCACAGAAGCTCAGCCACACGGGAAGTTTCCATGAGGAGCGCAGGCTGGTGTTAGGGTAGGGTGGAGCATTGAGCCAGAAATGAAAGCTACCTGGATGTATCGGGGCTCCCTTTTTAGTATTGACAGGAAAGCGGTCTCCCTGCTAATGGTAAAACCTCTCCTTGGGGATCGTGCTCTTGTTTCAGCCCCACTCGTCCCTCTCAGGCCCCATGGTAACTGGTGTCTCTTACATGTTCGGTGTGACTGTTAGTCTGGGGCGGGATTAAGAGTGTGGAGGGTTGCCCACTGTTGTCTCTAGAGGTGTGGGCCATACTGCGGGGGTAGCTTTGCACTGATGGAAGGTGGTGAGCCTCTGCTGCCAGCCCCGGCTCCTGCAGTGCTGCTTCCTTTGCCCGCCTCAGGCACTTGCCCCTCCCAGTCCCTGTGCTTGCCCTGTGCTTCTTCACTGCAAGATCGGGCCGTGGTCTTTGGTGGGCAAAGGTGCAGGCTCTAGTCCAGAGCGCTGCATTCAAATCCCAGTTCTGCTGAGCTAAAAGACTGGGCAGTGTAACAGCTCCTCTCTAATGGGGCTGACAGTAGCGCCTGTTCTCAGTCAGTGGACCTGCAGCTCTTTTTTTTTTTTGATTTATTTTTATTTTATGTGCATTGGTGTTTTACCTGCCTTCATGTCTGTGTGAGGGTGTCAGATACCCTGGAATTGGAACTAACAGACAGTTGTGAGCCGCCATATGAATGCTGGGATTTGAACTCATGTCCTCTGGAAGAACAGCTAGTGTTCTTAACCACTGAGCCATCTCTGCAGCTCTTTTTGTTGTTGTTGTTTTTGGTTTTTCGAGACAGGGTTTCTCAGTGTAGCTTTGGAGCCTGTCCTAGAACTCCCTCTGTAGACCAGACTGGCCTCGAACTCACAAAGATCCGCCTGTTTCTGTCTCCTGAGTGCTGGGATTAAAGATGTGTGCCACCACTGCCCGGCAAACCTGTATCTCTTCAGTCTTCATCTTCCTCTCCACCACTACAGGAGAAGATGAGGAGATTGGGTCAGAGGTTGTGAAGAGGAATAACCACTAACTCCCCGTCGCAGTGCTCACACAGAGTACTTCAGAGAGCGTGCTGACATCAGGGAACGTTCTTTTTTTAGATTTTATCTTTATTTAATGTACATTGGTGTTTTGTGTACGTGTATGTTTGTATGAGGGTGTCAGATCCCCTGGAACTGGACAGTTGTGAGCCACTATGTGGGTGCTGGGAATGGTCCTCTGGAAGAGCAGCCAGTGCTCTTAACCACTGAGCCATCTCTCCAGCCCCCAAAGAACATTCTTTTGTTTTGTCATTTTGTAGACACCATCAGGAGAAACTGGCAACTGGCAGCTGTGATCACCCACAAAGTTCACCTTCGCTGGACAGGCCTGGGCGGAAGAGGAAGTGGGCTGAACAAAACCAGAATTCTAGTCCAAAGAAGCCCCAAGCATTTAAACCAACAGGTTCGTGGTGTCTCATCAGGAGCTAGCCGTTGCTCAGACTCCACAGTAGAGACCCCTGGGTAGTTTTATTTCTTACTCCACAGCTGCTGGATTCTGATGGTCGGGAAGGACGGAGTGGTTCTGGGGTAGAAGGCAGCAGATCTGCTTCTCACACGCACAGGCCCGAGCACTTCAGTATGGGTGTTTATTAACCCTGCCAGGTGGTGGCACAACCTTTAACCCCAGTACTCAGGAGGCAGAGGCAGGTAGATCTCTGTGTTGGAAGCCAGTCTTGTCTACAGAATGAGTTCCAGGACAGCCAGGACTGTTACACAGAGAAACCCTGTCTTGGGGAGAAAGAGAGAGAGAGAGAGAGAGAGAGAGAGAGAGAGAGAGAGAGAGAGAGAGAAGAAACCCTGAAGCTGTGTTTCGTTCTCTCTTCAAGGTGTTCCCAGGGTGAAGTTGCTGTGTGGGGCAGATTTACTGGAATCCTTCAGTGTGCCCAACTTGTGGAAGATCGAGGACATCACGCAAATTGTAGCCAACTATGGGCTCATATGTATCACGCGGGCCGGCAGTGATGCTCAGAAATTCATCTACGAGTCTGATGTGCTGTGGAGATATCAAAGCAACATCCACCTGGTGGATGAATGGATCACCAATGACATCTCATCCACCAAGATCCGGAGAGCTCTCAGAAGGGGCCAGAGCATCCGCTACTTGGTGCCAGACCTTGTCCAAGAGTACATAGAAAAACATGACCTGTACAGCTCCGAGAGTGAGGACAGGAATGTCGGGGTCATTCTGGCTCCTCTGCAGAGGAACATTGCAGAGGCTAAGCACAACAGTTCCATGGCATGAAGCTATGCTTGACGTCAGATCTCTTGTGGAGATTCAGAACAACCCAGTATTAGTAACTCAGGGGAGGAATTGCCATCCTGTTTCATAAACTGAAGTTTAAAGTTTGATTAAAAACTATCAGGAAATTCAGATCAGTTTCTAATATCAGTGTTTTAGATAAGGTCACTAAAAAAACCAATAATTCCTCTTTAACATAACAGCTGATTCACTAAAATGAAATCTCAGTCATGTTTACTCTAAATAGGTTTTCGAAGAATGAACACCATAGCTTTACCATGCAAGAGAAGCAGATGTGAAAGCAAATCCATTCAAATCCTCCCTTTAGGGGCTGGAGAGATGGCCCAGAGGTTAAGAGCATGCGGTGCTCTTCCAGGGGACCCAGATTCAGTTACCAGCACCCACATGGCAGCTCCCAACTGACTGTAACTCTAGATTCAAGAGATCTGATGTCCTCTCTGGCCTCCATGGGCTCCAGGCATACGCATGCTGCACAGACATACATGCACGAGAACACCCACATACAGAAGAAGGAAGAAAAGTCTCACTTCAGCCAGGTCAGTGATGCACACCTGAGACCCCGGCTGTTCTAGGGGCTGACATATGAGAATCACTTTGAACCCAGGAGTTGAGATGACTCTAGACAACATAGACCCTTCCTAAGAAACAAAACAAAATCCTAACGTTAGTTATGAAGAGACCTGACATGATGATGTTAGTGCTTGGTGCCAGCCATCTTTATCCAAGATAGACAAAGGAAGGGATTCTGTAAAACATCACCTTGGCTGGGGCTGTAGCTCAGTTGGTAGAGCACTTGCCCAGCAGGCCTGAGGCCCTGGGTTAAATTACCACATAGCTGGGCATGGCAGTACACACCTGTGATTCAGGTACTTGAGGACAAGCAGAAGAAGCAAATGTTCAACATTATCCAGATGGCCTGCAAGTTTGAGACCGTCAAGGGATACTGGAGACCCTGCCTCTATATAAATAAAATAAGTGATCCTACAAAATGAAGGTTGTGAGTACACCCTGAAGAAGTCAGACCATACCACAGTTTTCCTTGCTCCACAGGCGGGATGGTGCAGTGGACAAAGGTACCTGCTGCCAAGTCTTACAACCTGAGTTCAAGACCCAGGACCCACACAGTAGCAAGGGAGAACCCATTCCTAAACGGTAGCTGACCTGCACATGAGATAAATAAAACCAATAGCTGGTGAAGCTTCACCCAGGTGTAGCTGCTTGAAACCCCCCTTTGGAGGCAGGGTGTGGGAACAGGCTCTGCTCTAAATGTCGTCTTAGCAAAGCTTCGTTGCTGACTCATCTTTGTTCTTTTTAACTCTGGAGACAACTTCAAAGATAATGTCTCAGTGCCTTTAAGAAAATCTCAAAGAGCTGGGCAGTGGTGATGCATGCCTTTAATCCCAGCCCTCGGGAGGTTCCGTAGAGAAATCCTGTCTCAAAAACAACAAATAAATGAAGGTGAAGAGCACTCATACTTTTAACCAGCCATTCGCTGTGCTTTCCTTCCTCCCTTCCTCCCTTCCTTCCTTCCTTCCTTCCTTCCTTCCTTCCTTCCTTCCTTCCTTCCTTCCTTCCTTCCTTTCCCCCCCCCAAGACAAGATTTCTCTGTGTAGACCTGGCTGTCCTGGAACTCTGTAGACCAGGCTGGCCTTGAACTCTCAGAGATCTGCCTGCCTCTATCTCATGAGTGCTGGGATTAAAAACATCACCACCACTGTCCTCTTCACCTTTATTTATAATTTTTAAAATGTATTTATATTTTATGTCCATTGTTGTTTTGCCCACATCTGTGTCAGTGTGAAGGTGTTGGGTCCCCTGGAACTGGAATTACAGGCAGTTGTGAGCTGCCGTGTGGGTGCTGGGGATTGAACCTGGGTCCTCTGGAAGAGCAGCAGTACTTTTAACTACTGAACCCTCTCTCCAGCCCCTATCTATAATTTTATAATTAAAAGGTGAATGAAGCTCCTAAGAACGTGAGGAGTGGACTAGGTCAGTCCCAGCAACTCTCCCTGCCTCGACCTTGGAGCCAGTGACTGATGCTCCACCTGAAGCTGCCAGTTTCTGAAGAGCCCTGTGGTCTCTGTGCCAGCCGTGTGAATCTGCATGTCCTGCACCTATGCCAAGGAAGGGTCCGTTGCCTCATCACTTTTCTGGTTTTGTTTCTCTGACCGAGTAACTGAGATCATAGCTCTTTGTTAAAACACAAAAGTTATTACGTGATTTCTTACTGATTGAAATTTTACAGGAATTTGCCACATTTTTTGTCTTTTCAGTTAGGATCTTCTCCTGGAAAAACATAGTCAGTGCCTGGTGCGGTCTTCAGGGTCAGGTTGTCCCTGCATCATGGGTCCAACCGGATGGAGATGATGGGGACCAAGGACTGTGGGCCACAGTGTCTCCTGGGATCCTCATTGTCCAGGTTCAGGGCCTCCATACTCTGCCCTGCAGTTGGCAGAGTTCTGCATGGTAGCCCCCAGAAATCTGCCCCACGGGCTTCTGCCATCGTTAGGGGGTTCTAGAATGAGTCCTGGAGATCTTTCCCCGCATCATTTCAGTGTGAGAATTTAATGGAGAAGCAACCAGTGTGGCAAACACCACATGGTAGAAAAGACTCATCTTGGCTCCTGCTGGTCCCCACTGACTTCACCCGGGGTGTCTCTGACTCGGTGTCTCTGGGAACCTCACTAGGTGTCTGGGACACATGTGATGGTCCTGTTTCTAGCAGCCACCAGAGGAGGGGGTGGTACTGGGTCAGTGTGGACAGGGAGTCCACCAGCAGGACCCTCATTGAGGGTGCCACCACACACTTTTAAAACAAAGATCAGAGGTAGCCTTTTATGGAATATAGACCAGAGACAACATTTTATGATAGTGGTCTTGCAATTAGTACAGGGGTAAAGTTAAACTTCTCAACTGGACATAGTGGGACACACTCATAATCCCAGCACTCACTTGATGGAGACTGGAGAATCAGGGGTTCAAGTTCACCTGAGCTGGGCGGTAGTAATGCACGCCTTTAATCCCAGCACTTGGGAGGCAGAGGCAGGCAGATCTCTGTAAGTCTGAGGCCAGCCTGGTCTACAAAAGCTAGTTCTAGGACAGACCCCAAAGCTACAGAGAAACCCTGTCTCAAAAAAACAACAACAACAACAAAAAGAGGGGTCACTTGCACAACCACGGCATCAGGCCAAGTCTACATCAGCAAAAGACCTAAATTCCTAATGAAAATAGGATAATTTCCCTTTTTAAATTCTTGAGATAGGGATCTCCGTGTGCAGTCCAGACTGGCCCAGGGCTCACAGAGATCTGCCTATCTGTCTCCCTAGTGACCTAAATTACCCATGAAATTCCTGTTTGATGCTTACCTCTCTTGACGAAGACGTACTTCCACAGAAGGAAAAAGTAATTGTGCAGTTGTCGGACCCAAATCTGACGTCAGGAAAGGAGAAATGTTTACTCATCTTACTAAAGCCATCCAGCAGCTGTCAGAGATGAAAAGTCTGGCACTACAGCGTCAGTACCCACTGGCTGACTGTGTGGATGGCCAGATCTCAATCGGTAGAAATAAGGATCCTTCCCCCATTACTGCCTTGGAGCTAAAGAGTTGAGGCAGCACTGAGCAGTGACAGTAGTCAGCAGAGCCGTCAGACTTGACGCTGGCAGAGCACACATGGTTCATCTCATGTGCCGTGAGCTGTAACCTTACCTTAGACCTTAGTGTCTCCCGTTTGGAAGTGTTGGGACCCTGCTGCCTTATTATCACCTCAGGACCCAATGGGCAAGGCTTGCGGGGACCCTCCCAGGGATTCCCGAATTACACTGTGAGTGACCTTCGGGCACAGAACCTGACTTGGCTTTGGGGACTAGCTCCAAAGATGCTGCTAAATGTAGACATGCATAGTTGAGGATGTCCCCAAGACCAGAACTTCCTCTCCGGATAATGGAAATTACAAATTTTTTAAATTTATATTTACATGTGTGTGTTTTGCCTGCATGTGTGCCTGTGGGGGTGTGGTGCTGAGAAGAACGAGAAGGTATTGGATCTCCCAGAACCAGAGTTGCAGGTGATTGTGCTGGGAATTCAACCTGGGTCCTCTGGAAGAGCAATCATTGCTCTTAACCACGGAGCCATCTCTCCGGCTCTGGGAATCACAGTTGCTGTGCCTTCCCTTAAGGGAAAGGAGAGACTGTGTGGAACGTCCATTTTGTTTTGTTTGGTGCTGGCAGATTTTATGGGTTGAATCCTTTAGGCAAATGAAATTCCTTCACTGACCTCTGCATTGAGAGGTTAACAACACATAGAGCGTTTAGGTTATTATTTATCTGTGTAAACAGCAAACTCTCTGGGTACAGTGTGGTTCCCATGGTGTTACATTGTAGGAATTGCTCCAAAGGGATGATCAAGTTCACCTGAGTCAGAGGATGTTCCTCCCTCTGGTCAGGTGCAAGGCATCAGGAGGGTTGCTGTCCGCCTCCAGCCTCTGATTCCCTTCTCTGAGAGCCCAGAAGCTGTCATCTTGATTTAGATTCCTCTAAGCTTTGCTTCAAGGTGCTGGGGGAGTCTATTTCTCTGCAGTTCACAAAATTGTTTCCAGAGGCCTCCATCTACACTCAACATACTCAAGAGTGTCCGTCTCTGGAGTCTACACTCCTTTTACTAATAATTGCCACCTAAACTTCACAGTGCCAAAAACAACTGAGCACTTACTGTGAGCCGGGTGTGTGCTCACATGTGTGCTACTGTGAGCCGGGTGTGTGCTACCGTGAGCCGGGTGTGTGCTACTCTGTGTCTTCCATCATGATTCTGAGTACAATTAAGAGACCAGCATGAAGAAAGGTGTGTGTGTGTGTGGAGGGGGAAGACCAGCATGAATGGTGACCGGATGGGTTGAGTCTAAGAAGCGCATCTTCAAAGACCATGTTAGCCTCTCCTGTGAGAAATACTACCTTTTTCTCTTTTGCCTTTGGTTTTTTGTTTTGTTTTTATGTTTTATTAATTATGTATACAGTATTCTGCCTGCTTTTGTGCCTGCAGGCCAGAAGAGGGCATCAGATTTCATTATGGATGGTTGTGAGCCATGATGTGGTTGTGGGAATTAAACTCAAGACCT